CTTGGCGCTGTGCGGTCCTTTCCTGCGGGCCCTTTCTGCGTCTGCATCTGCGTTTGCGTTCTGCGTCGATGTATGTCTGCGCCCCCGAACCTGTTTCTTTGCTCCCTCGTCCGATCCCCAGGATAATGATGTGCGTATCTCGTTTTCATTCCTAACCTCGCGGCCAATAGCTTCGCCATGATCGTGGGAGAAAAGTGATCGTCGTATGTAGGCTACTGTGAGGCCATCGCGAAAGACCCCACCCCACCTCGCAGACGGAGGGAAGGTCATGGGGGGAGGAGGGACTCGAACGCAGAAGTCGAAACTCGCGTCGTGAGTCACCCCGCATCAGAACGCGACTCATTCGTAACTTTGTTGATGATTGTTTGGTGACTGAGGCTAACGTATTCCTTTCATGGGCTCGATGTAGGAAATGGCCAGCAATTGAGTGCTTCTTTTTCGCACATTTTTCTTCCGATGATCGATCTTGATCATGAGAGGGCACCAATAGACGACCTGACCATGAATCGATCAAATCCGATACGATGACCCGTTCGCTGATGGACAGGAACGTCGCGAGCCGTACCTCCTTGCCAAACGGTGGTGATCAGGCTGTAGGTTGTGGTGCAGGTGGTGTTGACTGAGTGACGAGATGATGAAGTGAGGTCCAGTGGGGAAAGCTGCTGCGGTTTGTGGAAGTCGAAGTAACCAGGTACTGCGTAAAGCACAGACTAACGGAACACCGCCCCACGGGCTAACCAACGGAAGGTAGCCCACAAGGCAAGCAGGGCAGGCAGTCCCCTGCCAAACACAATCTTGACAGCCCAGCATCGGACGACGACCAATGAAGCTTAACTGTTCTTGCTGCCCTCCAAAAAGAGTGGTAATTGCTGACAACCTCAGTCCCTCAGGGCAATGTACCTTGGCCACCTCTCTGTCTATGATAGGTACGTGACTTAAGGTAAGGTAGGTACTCCGCGATCAGGACTCCCACTGGTACGTACACTATACTACCTTACCTTAGACTCCAGGCGCCAGCCGCCTAGAACCCGGCCGCCATCCTGTCTTGGCAGAAGGTGGAAGAAGTCGGACGCATCTCATGCCTAGGCCTGTCCGTATCCGTAGGCAGAAATCACCAACCTTAGTCTCGGTCTCCAGTTATAGGGCTGCGAGACACGATATTGCTAAGCCCAAGGGAGGTAGGCCAGATCACGATACAACCCCCCCACACCCCTCAAAAGCGTACAACAGGTTTCAGTCAAAGACTCGAAGGATGAAGAATGCATATTTCAGAGGGCATGTGGCGTACTTTTTACACTTTCCCATGAACTGAATCTACTAGCTTCGACGGGATAGGCAGTTACCCCTTATCCACGATCTCGAGATGTTCCTAGATAGCGATATCGTTCCCTTGGCGGCAAGGCAACTCTTGGCCTTTTTTTTGTCTTTTCGAAGCAGGGGTAGACCGGGATGAAGCCCGTACAACCCGTACAGGAATACTGAACGCCAACTACATCACTGGAACGAGAGCTTTGTAAGCGCGCGCAAAAGTCACAGGAAAAGCTTTCCCGTCCAATTGAGCTTCCGCACCTCCCCATGGCAGCGGGCCCAGACAACGGGCCGCCAGCCTTGACTGAAGAGTGTCCCTGAGTTCGCCGACTACGTATCTCTAGCGTAGGATTCCTTCCTTCCGTTCATGCTAGATAGTCACCTGCTTGTGCCTCGTACCTCGCTCACGCTCAGACGCGGGATATCCAGGGCGCATTTGTGCTCTTTGAACAAGAGAGAAGAGAAAGCATTGCGTGTTCTGCCAAGGCATGTTGATCCTCTTTTGAGTCCCTCCAAGTGCCAACAAGACATTCTCACTACTCGGGTTGGATCCGGTCGAATCCACTTCCCCCCACCCCGCGTGTGACTCGGCTTTCGGGGAGATATCGGGCATGCATAGGTACGACGCGTTGGTTTATTCTGCAGCAAGTAAGTTCCAAATCATCTCTGAGAAGTACGATTTGACAGCTTGGTTGGAATATGGTTCGATGTTATTTGGGTTTACGAATCTCGCCTGAAAGGATGTATGCTTGGTACTTTTATGGCTTTGCCTCGGCAGACTGGGAACTCTGCGGCATTCTTGCCGCTCTAACCAAGGTGCACTTTCCCACTTGGAGTGATTATCAGCATCGAGATATTGACATGAAATGATGAGCGACATCCGCGTCATCGTGTTCTTCGATGTTGAAGGCATACCCAGTCTGGTGTGATTTTCTCACCCCGGAAGACAATGAACACTTATTTAGGCCAATGAAGTAGACCTGATAGCTCACGAAAAGCCAAGGAAAAAACAATGAGAGATTTCACTCATACAGGAACAGGGTCATCCTCCTTCATGTCTGTATGCCAAGGTACCTTGTCGAAACTCGTACGGAAACGTCCAGTGCCTATTCTCATCCAAAAAGAGATTAGAAATCATTGGTGGACACAGGAAGGGAACCATCATGGGGAACATTGAGAATCGCCAAGTGCCGACAACGTTCTCCCAGCACTTTGTAGATATTGGACTTTCCAATCCGCTTTGGAACTCCATGGAAGTAGAGGGGCAGGGAAGACGGAAGAAAGGAAAGGTGTAAGTTGATTTGTCGACGGAAGAAGAGTGGGGTACGGGGGCCTGGGGAACCCTTGACGGTACGTACCCGAGGTGTCCACCCAAAACGTTCCCCATCTGCCAGCGACTGAACGGTGGTGAAGACGGCTGCCTGTTTTGCCTTGGTCACGCTTCCAGCTTCATCCGTCTTCGGACGTCGATATTATCGTCCGTCAGCTTCAAATTATGTGCCACCTCGGTTCTCAGTGGCTGGCGATACTGCCTGTGTCGAATGTCATCGAATGAGAGATCGTGTCTAGCAATAGCATCCCCCTCGGTTGTCCGTCGTTAACATGGGAGGTAAGCGGGAGGGAGCCCAGCTGAACGTCTGCTTGTCAATACCTCCCAGGAACAAAGACAATACAAACCTAGAGGAACGTGTGGAAGATTTTGATTTCCTCAGCCGCAGAAGCATGTTTTGGGTGCTTATCTCACTCAACCTCTCCCATCCCTGTCGTTTCTGTGCCTCGCGGATAACTTCCCTCTTCTGGTCCTTTGCGCGCTTGCTGAAGCGAGAGACGAGGATGAGCAGGTCATTTGTTGGATTCCACGGTTCCGATTTACGGCTGCATCTGCGGCTGAAGCCCCAAGGATGGTGACCATGTCCCGCTCACCTCGGTGTTAGCACTCTAGCGACAAGGTGAGAAGGCACAAGGCATTCACGACCGCCCCGACCTTGGGCACGTAAGTTGAGGAACTGGGATACGCAACCCCGAACACACTCCATCAAGATAAGGTGTTAGTTATCTTCCGTTATCTTGCTATTCTTCCTTCCCTTGTAAATGGAATTACTGAGCCGGAGAAACAGTCTGTTGATTGAAAGAAAGAAAAAGGTGGCTCAGGTGAGGCCAACAACATGGGTTCCGATCCTGCGGCCGTGGCCCGTTGCAGACGCGCATACCTGCTTGCGCGCAACACTTTTCTTGCGCAATCGCGCGTTCGCGCGCTGTCCACAGCTTGTGTAACGCCAGTCTCTCCCACTCGGTGCCAAGACGATGGCTGCAGCCTTATGCTGCACACCATTACGTCTGATTTGACGTGGCCATGGGGGTAAAACGGAATTGGCACAGCGACGGAGTACACGAATGAAGAACCCTACCTTGCATTTTTTACAGAACTATTCGTATCCCCAAAATGGAATCCCGGGCTGCTCGGTTCGCTTTACCTATCCATGTACACCGAACTGCGGTGGAAAGTGCGAGTACTAAATTTGGAGGTACAGAGTTTTGGAGAAAGGACGAAAGGACGGGATGGCGTCATGAGGCCTGGCCCAACCGATGTCTGAGTTCGGAGACAGCTGACTTGGTGACCCGGTGCCGACGCTTCGTCTCACCCCTCTGCTGACAGCCACCACCGCACAATGAGATTGTTTGTATGTGAGAGACTCTTGGGATTTGCTTCTTTTTTTCCGAAATTTTGGTGGTTTCTATTAAACCTTGAATGTGAACATAATGTTGAAACTGATACCAGTTGGATCAAGGTGAACTCCTTGATCCCATGCGCCGATACAGAGAAAGACCAACTCCAATTAGAATCTCAAGAATTCTCAACCAAGAAATCACAAGTTCAAAACTAGGTAAGAGCGGTACATTGAAATGCATGCGCATGTTGGGTTACGTCAATGTCTTCACCGAAGAGTGCTCTATTACCTACTTTCTCCACGCCAATTTGGCGCATTCAAGTGCAAGCGATAGGAGATCCTTTGAAAAGCAATTCATCGGTATTTCCAGTTGAAACAAGATCGAAGGCCTGGAGGACAATTGAGTGATACAGCTAGTACGAGTAATGACTACCGACATGAAGGGCAACGTAGTATGAGATGACAATCTCTATATCTGTCCATCACTTCGCCCCAAAACAATAACCTTGATAAAACATTCCAAAGCCCAAAGTCATATAAGATTGCCAGAGAAGTTCATTGTTGACAAATGAAATATGTCGTAAACGAAGGTCGGGGCTGCGATGCTCCAAAAAGAAATGTCGTGCCCAATGATCGTCACGCAGTGCCTTGCATGACGGAGTATCCAATAAAGCATCGTCAGCAAAAGTCTATCTCAAATCGAAGCCAATGAAAATGATGCCCTGCAATTTCTGACGAGAGCCTATGCCGATGCTAATGTCAGTTCTCATATCCAAGGCATGATATCTGGAAAAGAAAGGGGGAGAGAAACTCACGCTGAGGCTTGTCCATGCAATATCATCCAGCCAAACGAGTTCCCTCCTACCAAAAAAGAGACTCTCTCAAGCAGCTGTCGAAGACACTTATCCTCAACCGCGCCGAAAGTCCACATCTCGTAGAGAGATTTAAGAGAGGAAAACAAAGAGAAAAACGTATATCCGTCATATCCATCCATAACCCCTCTCATTCATACCGTATAAACCCATGCCTCCTCAAAATCCTCTCATACTCCCTAATCCTCTCATCCTGTCCCGCAACAACACACCGCTGCTCGTGCAACTCCCTCCTCAACCGCCGATTCTGCTCCTCCACGCCATCATATTTCCCCTCCCACGCACGCACAATCCTCCTCAACTCCTCAATCCTCTCCGCTACCCCGTGGCCCAACCCATGTCCAAAGTGATGGTGATGCCCATGCCTCAACCGCGCCGCCAGTTCTCTCTCGACCTTTTGCAGCTTATGCCTCAGCCTCTCCACCTCCTGCAGATACTTCCCCGCGTTCCCGCCCGAGCTGTCGATAGTCCGCCGCAAACTGGCGTTGTCCTCGCGCAGGAGCTGGTTCTCCGCCTGCGCGGAAATAAGCAGGGCCGAGAGGCGGCGGCCCTCAATGTCCGAGGCTCGGAGGTCGCATTTCAGGGTGTAGTTTTCGCGGGCGAGGGCGTCGTTTGCTTCGCGGAGCTTGCGCTCGCGGTCTAGGAGGTCGTTGTATTCGGGCGCGGCGATGTGTGCGCAGTCGTCGCGGCAGCAGTGGTGGACTGGTGGTGGAGGTGGAGGTGCTGGGGTCGGAGTTGGACAGGGGGCCGGAGCCGGAGCTGGGTCTTCATGGTGGTGATGATGGCGGTGATGATGATGGGAGCGGGAGCGTTTGAGGGAGACGAATTGGTATTTGCCGTCTGGGGAGGTTTCGAGGTACCACCGGCGGGTGGCCATGCGGTCTGAAGGGGGTTGTGGTCGTGGACTAGGTGGTATGTGATTTGTTTCTCGAGATGTTTGGTGAGAGGGGAGAGACTGGAGGTGGTAGTGGTCGTCGTCCGTATAAGTCGAAAAAGGTTTGCTGTGAGGCTGTCTAAGCTTGAAGTTGAACTGAGAGGTTTCGCAACAGTATTCAGAGTTTTCGGTTCAGGATATTGGACGAAGACGAGAGAGGGCCGGGAACCGACAGGAGTTCAACAAGGGGCGGATCGAGGCCTTGATATGGAGATCTGAGGGATAAACACAGCAGACCACGAGAGCCCCGGGGCCGATATGCAGGTGATCAGCGCAGAAGACTACCCCGTCTCGCAAGGCCAACAAGGGCCCATGAGACGGGGGCTGCATGGCGGAGCGGGAGCGGGTAGGGCTTCGTCTTGAATTTTCTCTAAGTTTCCTAACCTGTTCTACCTTGTTTGATAGGATGCCTCCCTAATCCTGAGAGAGTGTTTACTGTGTAAGTGGGCCCTGGCCTAAGGAGGAACTTGGGATCCCAGAGCTCTGGGGACGTTCGTCACTAGACTGGAATCTCGCCGTCTTTCGTACATTTCACTAGGGAAAAGTAGGCGCAGGAACGGCTGCGAGTCATCGGAGGAGGAGGCAACAGGGCACGAGGCTCAAGCGCGTGGGCGGGAGAAGGGATGGGCGCCGACTCGGTGGCTGACGCGCTGCCGTTGGAGGTTGCGGACGGATGAGGGAACTGGTACGAACTGGACCCTTTGACGGGTAGTAAACAATACAGATAGACTATATTCGTGCCTTAGCTGTAGATGGACACCTGTTTTTCCTTTCTTCCTCTTGGCTGTTCATACTAAGGCAAGGTACCCTGCAAGGCAGATGGTGGGTGGAGCCGGGGGGAAGAGGTCGGGTGTGGTGTATAAAGTTGAGGCGCCCTCGACATTGAGGAGGATTTAGGTTGTCGGGTGCCCGTTTGGCTGACCTAGATGTGAGTCCGAAGGCGAGGTCATGTAGACGGCCTCACAAGTTGTGCGCGGTAAGACTTGGGTGGTCGTTTGTGGTGAGCGCATGAGTGGCATGTCTCACGCGCCAGAAGGGGGGGTGGAGGGGTCATTCGGGGCCTGCTCCGGGGGGGCTGAGCTTTGAACTTGGCGGCGGTTCATCCCGGAGGGTTTGCTTGCGGGCCTCGCGGGATTAGCTGTTTATTCAGAGGTCAGGTTTGGTCTAGGCTGATTGTAGGTTGCATGAAACGGAAAAAGGGCATAGAATGAGGAGAGTACAAGGGCGCGGTTGATTCATTGTGGTCTAGATGTTGGTCATTGAAGATGTCGAAGTTGGAGGTGTGACAGTGGACAGTTGGGGTGGGAATTGGAGATCTCAAGGGTACCTTACCTTAGGTACGTACTGCGTAGGTAAGGTTTGGCACGTGGAGCAGGCGCATTGCGGTAAGCAAGCGCCGCCATCGGAGAATACAGTGCCTAAAAGCGCCTTTCTACCACCATAATCCAGTCACAACACCGTACAACCCTTGTTGTTCACCGCGGCTGCGCTTGGGCTGCCTCTCCACATCCCGGTACGTATCTATTCTCCATGACCACCACCACAAACAACATTCTTTGGCAATGGCCTTTTTGTCTTACACGGCCGAGTACACCGCCTCCACGAGGCTGCCATATTGAAACTCGCAGGTTCAGTCAGGCACACTCATATCAGGATTGTACACTTTAATCTTGGTTGGCTGGCTACTTGGATGACTTGCCCGCTTTCCAGTCATATCATGTCTCAAAGGACTGGCAAGGGTGCTATTCCTATAAACCTTGAATGAAGTCATTAGGTCATCTGCTACACTTCATCAAGCGAGGCAACCAGACAACCGTATTCTATTCTGTCGTCACGCTTTTGGATTATCCTACTTCTTCGCGCCGATGCCCTCTGTAGTGAGTCTTGTTGCCTGGTGCTGAGAATTCGCTATTCTGTAGCCTTGTTAGCGGTGGCGAATACACCATGACAAGTTCTGATATTTGGGGGCCATGAACGTCTGGTATCATCTTTCCGAGCCTCCCAAATGTGATGACACCCAAGCTGGCTCCATGAGGCGGAGCGAACATGTGGCCATTGCTCGCTTCCCAGGCATTTCCGGCAAGGAAATCAGGCTCGACGATGCTGTCAAATCCTTCCTTACCTTTCTCGACCACTCCAGACATGACATTCTAGCGAACCAAGAAAGGATATGTGTCTTTTTTTGCGTGGAGATGCCTTGAGCAGAGATGTGATTTATTCCGGTTAGGCCGCTGGTGGCCTCTTCCTTTCTCGTAATACACGAAGCAGAAAGGACGTAAATACTTCTCGGCCACGGAAAAAGCGATAACCAACTTTCTAAGCACCGTAAGTTGGCTATTTCACTGTGTCGATGGAATGAGAATGAAGAGAGCGCCTGTGAGAAGATCCCAGAGACTTGCCATATCCCGACTACACGACGCAGACACTACCTCTGTATGCCAAATATGCCATCAATTTCCACTACCAGAAGCTCCCACCCCGCCAACCCTTGAAATTTCTGTCTGTTTGGGAGTATATGAAGCCACGATATGCAAATAGTTACCTCACTTAGAAAACATAGTCTTCTCTCATAAGGCTCACACATGATAACCTTTCTCCAACATTCAACATCGTATCACGTCACAGCATCCCCGACCCCCGAATTCACTAATTCAATCTTGTTCAAAACCTAGGTAGATAGATAACCCCATACATGTAAGTTTCACCGTTCAAGCGAGCGTCGAGAAAAGAAAAGTAATCAGGTTTCATCCGCGGGAAACCCACAGGAATCTTTAGAACCCCCTTCTTCGGCTAAGGCCATCCAAAAAGCTGTCCTACTTCTTGCCAGCCTGCTGTCCTCCCTGACCAGCACCAGCGCCAGCACCGCCCTGATCCTGTCCACCGACCCCGGCATTGGCGTTTCTGTCGCCCGCGCCCTGGGCTCTGGCGGCGAAGTCGCCCGAGGACATGTCTTTGCCGCCCTTGTTCTAGATTGAAAATCGTTGAATGTTGATATCAGTAGCCCAAAATCTTCACCGAGTCTCGCCCAGCTAGCATCAAGACCCTGATTATCTCAGGCAGTGAGGTAGAGACCACGGGAGGAGGGGGAAAGTGACGGGCCTGGCTGGACTGGATGCGGGAGGCATCGTCTTTGGTCATCTGGTTAGGCGTGATGACGGATATCGCGTTGTAAACGTTGTAAAGTTGACGGAATGTTTGAGGAGAGTGTGATGTCTGGATGATCTATCAAGAGGACTGTCCACCGAGACGACAGACGCAGCGTCTTGTAGGCCTTTTCGTCTTCCCATCCTCATCACATGAAATTCAACATATCTCTCAAGTACACAATACAAACCTCATCACCATCCCATCATCGCCACCATATCTGTCACCGCTTCATCCCGAACCCACATCTCAACACAAACGTAAAAGAAAAACGAAACCGACGTCGTACACAGCTCCTCTGCCAGTTCCCTACCCTCTAACTCCGCTCCTTCCCCGAGTATGAAGCTCTCAGATCAACCGGCTGATCCCGGTGACCTACCTCCCCCCCCGCTCCGACGGGACATCGCTGGAAGGCCTCCGGCGCCTCAACGAAACACCACGCCCGTTCCGCAAATCCGTTTGGCTACAACCTGAAAATTTAAGCACTCCCAAACGCATTTCACATCACACAAACAAAGCGCTGAGAATAACGCGGAGGCGGGAGGCGGGAAGCAGCGGTCAATCAGTGGGGTGTGGCCCTCACGGGAAAATGGGTTGACATGTGCCGTTGCTTTGATGGTTTGGACGACAACTACTTCAATTATGGCGATCCAAACCTTAGTACCTGATTGTACCTTGCCCCAGCTTCCATCTCATATCCCCAGCGCGGGGTATGTTATCCGGCAAAGAGGTCATCCATCACTGAGTAAAGATCAAGTATCGTGTCATTCAATGGATACTCGCCACTCTACAAAAGAGTGGTATAGGAGCAGCAGTACTTTGGTTTGCTTTTGTATTGTTCAACACATTCAGGGGGTGGAGTGGCAATGACTTTCAAGCCAAGACAAACGCCCATGCAATGCCTAGTAAGTGAGCCCTCTCTCCCTCTATCTCTCTTCCGCCGAACCCTTTTGCCATCCGACGACATCATCGCACGCATGCCAGTCCCTAAAGCCTCCTCTTCCTCTATGGGCATGACGAAGGAAACCAAGACACCAATGCCGTACAGAGGAGGCCTCTCATCGCAAACCACAGGTGAACCATTCCGGAAAGAAAAAAGCGCCCTCTCTTGTTTGGTGCTCTGGCTTCCCTTCTCAACAAGACTTTTCGTCTTGTGGAAAGACGAAAGGTCCCGCATGGAAGCCAGGCCAGCAGCCTTTGCATGCTTCTAATGTTGTTTTTTATATGCTCCCACACTCTCATGGTATTCCAAAACCTTCCCTTCAGCTTCAGCTTCAGCTCTCGGCAGCCTTGAGCTCCTCGTCGACCTGCGCCCTGACAACCTCCCGCACCTTTTGCCAATCGTTGACAATCTCCGTCACCCTCTTCTCCTTGTCCTCCAAGCCGACGAATTCTGACGGCAGCACCTTGGCCTTGAAGTCGAAGCCCTCCTCGTCCTTGAGAGCCAGGTCGACGGCGCCGGCAAACTTGGCCGGGTGAGCCGTGGAGAGCGAAATGTGCGGCACCTCTGCGCCGGCGCGGCTGACGGAACGCTCCGAGGCGGACACGCCAATGGCGGAGTGGGGGTCGAGGACGTAGCCAATCTTGTTATAGTAGCTCTTGATGGTCTCGACGGTCTGGGGGTCGCTGACGCGCTCGCTCTCAAAGTCGCGGCGGGCCGAGTTGAGCACGTCCTGGTAGACGGGGCCGAAGCCGCCCTTTGTCTTGAGGTCCTTGAGCCACGAGGACACCTCCTGGCCGGCCTGCCTCTTGTTCCACTCGTCGTCCATTCCCGCGCTAGAGGCGAACTCGTAGGCCAGGAACCACAGCAGGCGCTCAAAGTTACTTGAGACGAGAATGTCCATGGCGGGGCTGAGCGTCTCCTTGACGCCGTCCTCGTGCGCCTTGACGCCGTCTTGGGCCAGGCCGCCGGCGGCTTCCGCGGGGGGCGCGGGCTGCTTCTCGTACTTTCCGGTCGTCCAGAATCTGTGCAAAATGTCGTTCTCGTTGGTCGCGATGACGAGCTTGTCGACGGGCAGACCCATGCGGTAGGCAAAGTAGCCGGCGAGGATGTCGCCAAAGTTACCCGTGGGCACGACGAAGCGGACCTTGTCGCCGAGGTTGAAGGTCTCCGAAGACTTGACGAGGGAGAAGTAGGAGTGGAAGTAGTAGACGATCTGGGCCAGGATACGCGCCCAGTTGATGGAGTTGACGGCACCGAGGTTGTGGGTCGAGTTGATGTCGGGGTCGGCGAAGAGAGCCTTGACAATGTCCTAGGTGACTCGGGGTTAGGGAGTGCCGTTCGGCAAGGGCTTATGTAGGCGCGCGAGAAAAGACTTACTTGGCAATCGTCGAATGTGCCAGTGACAGCCAGGTTGTGGACGTTCTCGTCCAGGACGGTAGTCATCTGGGCCTCCTGGATGGGGCTCACGCGACCCTTGGGGTGGAGGATGAAGACGGAGACATCCTTCTTGCCTCGCAGACCGTAGATGGCGGCAGAACCGGTGTCACCGCTCGTGGCACCGACAACAGTCAGATGATGTCTGTCTGCGCAACGTGTTAGCTAGTCCCCACATGTGCCAATTGCCATTGCATGGTATCTTTTGAGGCCGTGGCGGCCCGCAAGGTTCCGGAGACGAAGAGGCGCATAGCATACCCTTTCCAGTCTTGCCCTCGTTCTTGCGCACCAAGAAGTACTCAAACAGGTTGCCGAGGAACTGCAGAGCAACGTCCTTGAAGGCAAAGGTGGGGCCGTGGAATAGCTCGAGGAGGTAGAGGTTGTCGTTGAGGTGGCGGAGGGGGGTGGTCTCGGGGGCTCTAAAGGTGGAATAGCTTCGGTCGATGATGCCCTTGAGGTCGGCGGAGGGGATCTCGGAGGGAGAGATGTACAGAGACAGGATCTTGTGGGCGAGGTCGGGGAAGGCCAGGTCCTTCCAGGATTGCCAGTCATCGACCTGGGGGATGTGCTCAGGGATGAACAGGCCGCCATCGCTGGCGAGGCCCTTGAGAACGACCTCCTCGAAGGAGAACTGGAAGTGTATGCGGTCAGCAGCTGCGTGGCCTCGAGCATCATATCTAACGGTGCGCGCGCGCGCCGAGATGAAGCTGGCTTTTGGAGGAAGGAGAGGTATGCGCAGGCGATGGAGGGGAGAAAGGGGCAATATCATACGCCGCTGTCCTCTCCGCGGGTGCTAAGATACCGCTGGGAGGTAGTGTGGGTGGTGTTGGCGGCGGCCTCGCCTTTGGTACCGTTGGTGGCCATGGTGATAGCTGCGTCTGCGTGTGCGTCTGCGATGTGCGGTATGCGGTGAAGGAGGGGGAGTCGAGGTGGAATGAGCAGAATGAAAGATGGGGGGCGGGGGAGAAGCCCAATGGCAGCACAGAAAAGAGGGGAAGAGAGGGAAGAAGACGGCAAGAAAAGCTCGTCTCTTGTCTGCCGAAAAATGCACGATCTCTTTGATTTAGAGGGAGAGAGAGAAAAGAGGATGGCGTTGAGATCTTGGAAGCATTCGGACGAAAAGGGCAAGAGAAAAAAAAAGAGAGAGGGCGAGTCACACACACACCAGCGGCACTGCGGTAGCAACGACCTGGACGACAAGCGGCCGAAAGTCGGTCTCGACGAGTCGGTCACCCCTCAAAGGTGGCCCGGTGTTGTGGGCGGTCCCGTTCCTCCTCCGAGTTCACTGTGACTGTGTGACAGCGTCTGCCCCTGCCCCTCCTCTCTCTCAGTGACTGAGTCCGATGTGAAAAATTTGCCCCGCACCAAAAATGAAGAGTGCCAAAGAGGCGCGGGGTTGCCCATGTCCACCTTACACCTTGGACGGTGTACTACGAGTATGGTACATACTCAAGGTAGGTACTTAGCAAACTGACATAATTCAACGATGACGGGACGCCAAGGGGCCGGGATTGGTGGGTTGTGGAATGCTCAAATCGCGCAGTCTCATTGGCCAATGACTGCCCTGCCGTTTCCTTCCAGATGGCGCCTTCATCTTTTCGTCGACAGGGGACCGACCGCTGACCGTGCGTGCTCCTGAACGTTCAACATCCAACTTCAACCCTGCCCGTCACCACCATCCGCTCTCAGCTCATCTCATCCTTGAAGAGCCATGATAGCGTTCGCCTTCGAAAAGCGGCATGTCGGCGCTGCAGAATCCATTTAGTCGTGCCGCCTCAGACATGCAAAAGCGCATGCCAAAGGACGGTCCACCAGAATCCCAAGTGACTACCCCTCCATCACCCCTCTTTCCCAATGGGGTTCGTGGCATGTCAAAAGTCAATAGAACCATCGCGCTGCTGCACGGCGGCTGATGGTGCCATTTGCTTCCCATTCCTTCAGTATGACTCAGCTGGATTCCAAGCCACATGTGTTGCCAACTTGAATTTGCGAAAAAGAAATCTAAAAAAAATCTGGAGAGGCCTTTGGAACCGCCCAAGCGCATTATCATTGTTTCGTAATGTGATACCGCAAGACATCCTGTCTCACTCGATGGTACCCAACTGCGAATGTGGTCAATGGAGGCGTGCTGCATCACCCGATAAAATAGCCAATCGGCCTAATTGACCTGACCGAATACCCCCGAAACATGAAGCATAAGGTACTGCGTGTCATCCGGATGCCACCCGAATATTCCCTATATCGCTTGCCCTCTAACGCCTGTTGCCCATGTCATTGGGTATCTTGTGAGAAAATGAGGTAAAAATATCACAGACCATGGCGCCGTCCATCCCTTGAAAACCGCTGTAAGGCTCAATCGATGCCCCGTCACTTTTTGAGCGACTTGAGCAACGGCGCAATCCTCGACCTCTTGCTCAGTCCCACCCGATAGATGGGCTTCGTCGCCGACAGGGGCGCTGGCGTCGACAACCTCTGCTTTCCCTCTGCCTTACCCGCCGTCCCAGATTTGTCGCCATCCGCCTGCGCAGGAGTCTCTTTCGTCGCCGCTCCTTTCCCCTCTGCTGCCGCGCTCTTTTGCGGTCCCAGTCCGTCGGAACCAGACTTGCTGAGCGCCGCA